TGCGTCGTGACGTCGAGACCCGAGGAGCAAGAAACAGTGTTCCGGGAGCTCCTGTGGCCACGAAGGACGATTTGGGGGGGGAGTGCTTGACGCGTGCGCCTGATTGGCGCGGGCGCCGGTAGCAGCCGAAGCATTAAGGGCAGTTGAACACCCCACGCTGGACTTGCCACCTGCGCCTGGGTGAGGCTGGTCCCCCCCCCCTCATGAACCTTCACTTGGAGGAGAAGAAGAGCAGGACCGAGCCTGCCCCGCGCAATCACAAGGAGAATGGGGGTCGAGAAATGGCGGAGGGAGGGGGGAGAAGGACGGACGGAGGAAGAAAAACACAGGAATGTCAAAGACGGGAACCAAGAGGAGGGGCGGCAGTCGCATCCCAAAGAAGTGTTAGCCAGCGTGAACCCCGAGCATTGAATTCTTGCAATCCATGCAGAGCAACGCGGGTGGTGCAATCAATGTGGTGCAATCGATGTAATGCATCGCAGACCAAAACAATGTACAACAATGCACCGCAATGCAAAGCCACCCAGAACAATGCAATGCAACGCACTGCAAAACAACGCAATGCAAAGCAATACAATGCAACGCAATGCGCAGCAAAACACAGCACTGCAAAGCAATGCGAAGCAACGCAATTCAGTGCAACGCAACGCAACCCAAAACAAAGCAATGCAACACAATGAAACGCACTGCAAAGCAAACCAAAACACACCATTGCAGAGCAATAACACGCAATGCACACGTATGCAACGTAACGCAAAGCAAACCACAGCAATGCAAAGCAATGCGAAGCAACCCAGAGCAATACAACGAGGTGCACATCAATGCAACACAATGCAGCACAGTGCAAAACGGTTCGATGCGATTGCAATGCGATATAATGCTATGCGGTGCGATGGCAATGCAATGCGATGACGGAGGAACGCGAGGCAATACAAAATAATGCAAATCCATGTGATGCACAACATCGCACAGCAATGCAACGCAACGCAAAACAACACACAACAATGAAAAGCTGTGTACGGCAATGGAACGCAATGCAACAACTGAATGGCAAAACGATGCAAACCAAGGCAGTGCAAAGCAAAGCACATCACTTCAACGCCACGCGAAGCAGTGTACATGAAGGCAACGCGATGCAATGCGATTGCACTGCAACGCGATGACAAAACAGTGCGTTGCAATGCGATTGCAATGCAACGCACTGCGAATGCCATACCACAGCGGGATTGCAACGGGGCGGCGGCGACAGAGGGGAACGAACGGGGCCGCCAAGGCCGCATACGGGCCTCATCAGACACAGTAAGCAGCACCGGACGGGAACGGGGCCGCCATCGCCGCACCGGGGCCCAATTCCACAGAAGAAGAACAAGAAACCCTTAGTGCAACCACGGTTCGGAGAATACCTTGAAAATCTATAGCAAGGACGCGCTGTAAGGACGCAAGACCCTTGGACGGATCTTGGCGTCCAATTGCGTCTAACAACCTTCCAGGTAAATAATTCGGCCTGGGTGGATCTAGCCTTCCTCCGACGCAAAATGCGCGCGGGGTCAAAAGCCTGGCGCGACCCTGTGCGAATCGGCGGAATCTACTGCAGGTCCGAATAACAACTGCGCCAAACAATGAGCTGAATATGTTAGAGAAGCAGCTGGTCCAACGGACAACTGCGACTAACAACCGTCCAGGAGGAAGTTGGCGAGGTCTTTCTGGTATGCGCTGGGCCCCAATGCTGCCCCCCCCCGCCGCCGCCCTCGAACGTTGCGTCACTTTCGCATTTCGCAGCCCCTCCCACCCTAAGGGGTGGCGAGGTCTGGTTTACGTCCGCATGGGGTTGGGCGCGTTGGCTCCCCCCCAGTAACCGCCCAACGAAACAATAATTTCGCACCTCGCAGCCCCTCCCCCCCAAAGGGATGGCGACGTCTGTTTGGTGTCAGTGTGTGGGAACACACTGCGCTGGCTTCCCCAGCAGCCTTCGAAAGTGGTGACAATTTCGCACGTCGCTCCCCCCCCCCCCACACACATACACACACACACAGGTATGGCAAGGTCTTTTTGGATCTGCGTGGAACGAGTTTCGCACTGCGCAGCCCTCTAAGGATGGCGAGGTCTTTTGTTGGATTTGCGTCGGGGCCCCACTGCGTTGGCTCCTCCAGCACCCGTCGAAGGTGGCGACAATTTCTCACTTCGCAGCCTCCCAGGTATGGCGAGTTTGTTGTGTGTGCGTGTGTTTTGGGATCAGCGTGGGGCACCCCTGTGCAGGCTCCCCCAGCATCCCTCGAAATTGGCGACAATTTCGCACTTCGCACCCTCCCCCAGGTACGGCGAAGTCTATTTTGGGCGTGCGCTGGGGGTGCGGTCTACCTGCGCTGCAGGCTCCCAGTGCGCGGCAGGCGCTGCATTTCCTCGGCGACAGAAGGGGGTGTGCAGGGTGAGCAGTCTCTACCGTTGCAGAGATGCGGCGTCGATGCCTGTCAGGCTCCGGCGGCGTGGCGGGCGCGCCGTTGCCTCGACGCTAGAGAGGCGTGCGCCGGGTGGGTGGGGAGTGGTGCGGGCGGGAGCTTGCGTCTTATCCAGATTTGTATGCACCTTGGCTCAAGCCGACTCGACGCGCTTTCGCCTTCACGCAGGCGCGCTTTCATTTCCACTCGAAGGCAGTAGTTGCCGTAGCTGCGCGAAACAATCACGCCACAATATTGTCATGGACGCGTTGCCACCGCCGTGCTTATACTTGAAGAGCGCGCTGTCTCAGACGGGATGCGAGATTTCCGTGCACAGCTCGCGCAGATGTGCAAACGGCATGGTGCAGTCCGCATTGGATGCGTATTCCCGCCAGCTTCACAATTGGTGGCCCGAAGCCCTGTATACCAGTTGTCCTGGTTTGGGCTACGGTTGGAAGAAGCAGTGCCTAGCCTGAATCCTTCGCTGGCTCGTCTCGTTCGAACACAACGCGGCGCCATGTGAAACGAAGTCGAAAGCCTGAATGAAATATGTGGGTTCCTCGGTAGCGTAATTGACGAGGACGGTGTGGGGGGGTCATCCCTGTGCGAAAAACAATACAACAAACACAGTGCCTACAAAACTGGAACATGCGCGGGCGCCCCGCGACCACTTGGCATCGGTTTTTGAAAAGGACGGCGGGGGGGCCCTCATATTGTTCGCTGCGCGCTGGCCGACCATCCCTGTCAAAATACAACGCGCATGCACTTAGGGGTTCTCAGTTCTGGTCCCAGGAACTGGCCCTCTGCGGCCCGAGCTCGAACGCAGCTCGCGCACGAGGCCACGCCCTCGCCGGGCACCGCGCCAGCCTCCGACAGCAGCTCCCTCCGCCCCTGCCACGCGGCGATGTTGGCGGCTGCCGTGCGCCGCTCCAGCACCGCGAGCCTCTCGAAGAGATGGGCGCCGCCGTCTGCCGCTGCTGCTGCCGGACGCTTCGTCCAGCAGCAGCAGCTGCTGCCGGAGCTTGCCGCTCGCAGCTGCGCTCCTCTCCTGCAGCGCGCCGGCCAACACTCCGTGCTGCCTGATCAGGACGACGTCGTCTGGTCCAGCTCCCGCTTGAGCTTGTGGATCCCCTTGCCAACAAGTTTCTGTTTATGGCGTGTTCTCTCTTTCGAATCGTGAACCTCCTCGCTGGAGTTGGCACCCTGGTGGTGTTGGTGCCGCTTCTCCCGACTCCGATGAGGATGCCGTCCGCCAGGGCCGCAGGGGTGTACATGCTTGACTGCTGCGCGCAGCAACTTTATGGCAGTGCACATATGGGGAATGCACTTCCTCATATACCTGTCTTTTCTCCTCTCTTCGGATCTTCTCTTTCCTGCCTCTATATACCTCTTCTTCCTGCTACCTCACTGCCGTTTCCTGCCCTACCTCTGGCTCCTCACCTGCTCTACCTCCTCGCCCTGCCCTCACCTTCCCGGGGGCGTGGTGCCAGCGCCCTCGGGCGGCCTCCTTCCACGTCCAGGGCCGCAGGGGCGCGGGCCCTGCGGCCTCCGCAGTCACCCCACACGGCGCCGCCGGTCGCGGGGGCGGCCGGGCACGGCTCGAGCAGGGAGCCAAAAGGGTTACGGAGATGAGCCACGCCTCAAACTCCGCCAATGTCACTCCGCCCAATTTCACCAACTCCGCCGCCAACTCCACCAACTCCACCAACTCCACCAGCTCCACCAACTCCACCAACTCCACCAATTCTTCAGGGCCTCCGCCCTGGCCTCACGCCGCCAACTCCACCAACTCCACCAACTCCACCAATTCTCCAGGGCCTCCGCCCTGGCCTCACGCCACCAATTCCACCAATTCTCCAGGGCCTCCGCCCTGGTCTCCCGCCACCAACTCCATCAACTCCACGGGCGCCGAGATACGCGCGCGACCCCAGTCACCAGTCAACGCAGCGTGTGACACAGCGCAGGCCTACCTGACCGTGCAAGAAGCTGGGGAGAGAACGGAATCAGAAGGGGGATGAAGAGGATCAGGGTGGGTGGTGGGGAGGAGGAGGAGGAGGAGAAGGAGGAGGCTCAATAGCAGGAGGAGGCAGAAGCAGGATAAGCGGATCAGAGGAGCAGACAATACCATTCAAAGTGCGCGCCAGGCGAAACAACATGCACAAACCGAAAAAGCAACCGACACCAACACTAATGGTAGAATTAACACCTCCGCATGTCTGTATGTCTGTATGTATGTATGTAGGTATGTATGTATGTATGTATGTACGTATAAATGTATGGATGGATAGATGGATGGACGGATGGATGGATGTATGAATGTGTGTATACACATATGTATGTATACATGCATGCATGCATGAATGTATGTATGCTTGTAGACAGGTAGTTGGGTATGTATGTAACTATGTTTATATATGTATACATCGGTATATGGATATACACATGTATATCTACACATGTACACATATATAGATGTACACACGTTTATACACAGACACCCTTCGACCCGACGATCTTTCGATGTACCTTCAGTGAGGGCACGGTGTATGAGATCGCGGGCTCGCAACGGTGACTTATACACCGCCACCCTCCTCGGAGACCCTGGACCAATCCAGTGGAGGGTGTGCCGGAGGAAAGCCGCCGTGGCCCCCATGTGAGCACGACGTGTGCGAGGGGGAGGGGGAAGACGGAGAGGGGCGAAGAAGCGAACGCCAGCCTCGCCCTGCACCACGACGTCATCGTTTGCCTCGAACCGCCACGGCTCCATTTCCCCGAAGAGCTTCTGCAACTCGTTATCCCCTAACGTCTGGCAGAAACGGTCTGCCCGCACGCCCTGGGCGATAGCGGCGAGAGCGTCGGCGTCCTTTCTCGAGAGGTGGCAGGGAGGAGAGGCAAATGATGGACGGTGGAGGGTGGGTCCGGGCAATTTCTTGACGCGGATGTCCTCATGTGTGTATCTCATTTTCCTGACACTTCTGTCTGAGGGTGCGAGAGCTAGTCCGAGTAGACGACGGGTGAGACGACGACGATGACAGCGATGAACCTGCTCATCTGGCCGCGATCCGGCATGCACAATGAGTAAGTCTGAGGGCGTAGTGACCCTGACTGTGAGTGACTCTGAATATGAGCGAGTCTGCGTGTGAGTTAATCTGAAGTTGAGTAAGTGGGTCTGAGTGCGAATGAGTCCGAGTGTGAGTGAGTCGAGGCTGACAGTAAGTGAGTTTGAAGGTATGAATCGGCTCTGCTGAAACGTAAGTCTGAGTGAACGTGGGTCTATGTGACTGACGAAGAGGCGATCATAAGGCGAGTCCGAGGTTTAGCGTCTCACAAAAATTCTGAAAGGGAGGGACAAGATAACATCTTCGCGCCTGAACTATCTCCCGGCGAATCTCCAAAAATGTTCGCGCCTTCGCAATCTCCAGAGATTTCTGCACGCTGGAAATCTTCCGCAGATGTTGATGACATGTTCCTTGGATTTCCCGCAGATGGCTACACGCTGGTGATTTGCCGGCGATTTTCCTAAGATTGCCCCGAGAATCCTGCACCGCGGAAACTTTCTTGAGATTTAAGCAGGCGGTTTCCTTGAGATTTCCCCGAAAATGTTCAAGCCTGGAGATGTTCTGAAGATCCTGGCAATGCCAAACTACAATCTGGAGAGTTCTCCAAACATGTTCTGGAGATTTTTCAACCAGAGGGCCGCCCTGGTCGCGCGTGCCACATTGACCCAGTCTGCACCTTGGGCCAGGGGCCCCACTTGCAGCAACCCCCGAAGGGGGGGGAGCCTGGGTTGGATGCCGAGGGGAAGAAAGGAGCGGCGTGTGGCGGAGGGAGCGAGGAAGCGAATGGGGAGGAGGGGGGTCTGGTGTTGCTAGAATTGGGCCGGGCATGCCCTCCGACAGGCGCATTTTGGAGGACAGTTGAAAAATAGACAACAAATATTCAAACGAATTGAAAAATCGTCCCCAGATTTTTTCATAACTATGTTTGATTCTTCCTCCTGTAGAGGGACATGCCCGACTCAATGCCAGAAGTGCTCCTGGCCAAAGGTCCCCCCAGGATTTCCAAGGAGGCCCCCACGGCCTCCAGCGCACTCCTCACGAGGCCCAGGGGGCCCCAGGGGCTCTCAAATTGAACAAAACTTGGGGGCACCTTGAGTTAGACTGGGTCGGTGATGGCAAACGCGACCACCCTAATGTCCCCCAAAAGCTGCCCGCGAATTCTACCGAATCTCCCACCTCGGACAAAAAACTTTCCAAAACAACCTCGAGCCTGAAAAGTCTCCTGGCGAATCTACAAGGAGGCCGGAGGCCCCAGTAGCAACCCCCGAGGGGAGGGGCATGCCAGGGGATGTGGCAACCCCTCCCCCAGGCCTCTCGTGGGGCTCGAACGGACCAGAGAAATAAGGGGGCCCAACCCTGGGATACACGATGGGGGTAAGGCGTCCATCCTCGATAGGGGTGCGTCCGAATGGCCCCCTTGGGATGTGTCCCAGGGTTCCCCCCCTCCTGAGCGGCCACATTCCTCGTCGAAACACTTGGGAGGCTGGGGCGAGCCAGCGCCTGCGAGCGAGGGCGAGGCGCCCGGGGGGCGGCGGCGTTACCTTTCTCCTGGCCATCTCCAGGGTAGTTAGCTGCAGGCGCTGGGGCTCCCCGCGAAGCTCCAGAGCGTCGTCGCGCCTCGAGGATCTTCCGGCGAATCTCCAAGGAGGCCGGGTGCCCCAGTAGTCGAGCAAGGGAGCGCCTACGCGATTGACTTACCTTCAAGACTGTCATCCGTGGTAAGATCCACGCGGACCCGATCTACGGATCTGTCATCTGACTGGATCTACGGAACTGTCATCCGTGGGAAGATCCACGCGCGGTCTGGGTATGTTGTTGCAGACTCGACGAGCCGATCAATTTTGGGGCAAGCCAATTCGGTAGTCGATCCCCTCCTCGACCGGTAGCAGCCCCCGAAGAGGGGGAAGGGGGGAAGGGGGGAGCAGATCGGCGGCGAGCGAGAGGGGGAGCGAGAAGGAGAAGGCCGTCTCAGGAGGTCGCGGGACTTCTCGGAAGTTCTCGCGCCTTCTGAACAGGTTGTCTGGTCTTCGGGGGAGGCTTACGAGACAACTTCTCAGAAGGTCGGGGACCTTCCGAACCTTCTGTGGTGGGCGATGTTCCACCACCGCTACCATAGGTAAGAGAGGGAGGAGGAGGAGGAGGAGGCGGAGGAGGAGGAGGAGGAGGAGGAGGAGGAGGAGGAGGAGGAGGAGAAGGTGGAGGAGGAGGACCTCCCCATCTTCCTTTCTCCCCCGTCCTGCCTGTGGCCGTGGTGGAAAACGTCGGCCCCTCCTTCGGCGAAGGCCTTCTCCTCCTCGCTTCTCCCCCCCCCCCTCGCTCGCCGCCGAGCAGGAGGCCAGGGCGGCTGGGAGGGCGGCGCGCGTCCTTCTCCCGGATCTCCCGGTGCAGCCGCAGGCGCTGGGCCTCTGCCTCTCGGGCCTGCCCGGGGCTCTCGGGTATGCCTGCGCGGCCGCGGGCGGGAAGCCGAGCTCTCTGCACGCCGACGTGTTTGTCCTCCGGCCCTGCACGGCAGTGGCGAACGAGCAACACGCACCCATACCCAGAGGAGGCCCGAAGGGAGGAGGACTGGCTATGGGTATGGGTGCGGTTTGTCGGACCCTGGGGGGAGCTCCCGTTCGAACGGGCACCCCCGTCCGACAGCACGCACTCATAGCCCCCTCCGTCCCCCCTATGGGTATGGGTGCGGGTTGAGCGTGCGTCATGCAACGTGCACAAGAAAGCGGATCCTGGTGTACAGTCAACCCGTGTCATGAGGATGCGCGGTAAGGATGCAGTGGCCTTGGAGGCCTACGCGAACGTTTTCCGAACGAGGCTGGACAGCGAAGGTGGCCAAGGATGGGCCGAAGGGGCAATGATGCAAGAAAACCCTTGGGAAGGTTGCCCATGTGTGTCCGGAAACCTGGTGTATACATGTTTCGTGGCTTCTCCCTGGCACGGATACAAAAGGATACGTCACACCACACCGACGTCGCCCTCGACCCTCAAGAAGTCCTGGGATTGAAAAAACAGCCTGCCATTGGTAGTGTATATGTTTCAGCTTCCGAGAAAAGGGGTCTTGCGCTAGATGGCATACGGGCAACCCGTACATGGTTCGGGCGAGAATGGTGCGCGGCAAGGAGGCAAGGACCTTGGAAGGCCATGCCGACACCTTTCGAGCGGGGCGCGGCCAGCGAAAGCGGCTAAGGAGAGGGGCAGGACGCAAGTCCTCGTCCTTGCTATGCGGGTTGACTGTGCTCAAAATGGCGCAGCGGCCTTACGCGGTGGCTTCCGCGGGCCGCCAGCGCGGTACTCCGCACTAGAGACGAGGGCGCTCACCCGCGACCTTACGCGGGCAGCTTACGAGCCAATCTCGGCGAAGACGGCCCCATTTCCTTCCGACGCTCCCGTGGAGGAGGAGGAGGGGAAGGATGATGATGATGATGATGATGATGATGATGATGATGATGATGATGATGATGATGATGATGATGATGATGATGATGATGATGCTGATGCTGATGATGATGATGATGATGATGAGGAGGAGGAGGAGGAGGAGGAGGAGAAGGGGGAGGGAGTCCTCACGTCCGCGCGTCGCAGGGAGCACGTCGGGCGCTGTCGCCCCGACGAGGCCCCAGGACCTCCAGCGACCGGCCCGTCTCGAAACATGCCGCAGTGATGCAGGGTCGAGACGATGACAAGGAGGAGAGGAAGGAGAAGGGCGTAGAGCGTAGAGGAGAGGAAGCATGAGAAGGAGGAGGAGGAGGAGGAGGAGGAGAGGCAGGATGATGGGGAGGAGATGGGGAGAGGGCGTAAGGGAAGGAGGGGGGAGGAGGAGGGCGTAGAGGAGCGCTGAACAAGGAGGAGAGGAGAGGAAGGAGCAGGAGGAGGACCAGGAAGAGTGGGTGCCAGGAAGGGAGGCCGCGCCTAGGCGGTAGCTGTCCCGGACGTGGCGCGACATCCTCACGGACGGCAAGCACACCAGTTGATGGGCCTGCTTTCCACCACCACCACGAGCTGCAGGGGGGAAGGAGGATGGGGGTGGAAGGAGGAGGAGGAGGAGGACGAAGAGGAGGAGGAGGAGGAGGAGGAGGAGGAGGAGGAGGAGGAGGAGGAGGACCCCTTCCCCCTCCTACTCACGGTGGTGGCGATGGAAAGCAGGCCCACCACCGATACCATGCCCTCGCGCACGCCGAGGCGCGCGATCCCACGGAGATGCGCTCCGCGCGGGGGCATCCGCGCCGTGCAGCTCTGCACTTCCGTGGGATCGCGGCTCGAGGCGTCCGCCCCGCGAGGCCGGGGCTACAGTGGAGGCCAGTCCACAAGACACCTTCCACAACCAGGGGGACGTAAGACCTGGGTACAGGGGACTCGGAAATCCCCGACGAGGTCGTCAAAAAAATGACGAGGCCGAGCCTGCATTTTGACGAGGCCTCCCGCTGCAGACATCCCACGAAACTCCTCCTCGTCAAAATCCGAGGCGCGGTCGTCAAAAACCGATGGCGAAACCGAGTCCTGGGAAACCCGGGTCTTACGCTCCCCCGACACAAGAAACCCGACCCTGAGACCCCAGGACGTCCACTCATTTTGGGCGTGGGAGCGTCGCGCTGTGCACAGCAACACCATCGAAACCCAAGGGACCCAGGGCACCCTGGAGGCAAGCAGGGCGTTTGCTGGTATGGGCCTCCACTGTATGACGTTGTTTCCCGCCCGGGGCATCCTAGCTGCAATGCGCGGCGTGACCAGCGTCGAAGCCGCGGAGCTCGTTGAGGCGCGGACGTTGCGTCTCACCGGTGCAGCAAGGAGAGAGGCCGCCGAGCTGTGGGTAGAGGCGCGCTGATCGCGTCGTCCAAACGAGTTGCGAGGCTCGGAACTGCCGCGGGGCTCGGGCGACATCAGCGAGCCCCTGGTGGTCGTCGGCGTGACCGGTTGCAGAGAGCCTGCAGGAATAGACAACTGCATGAGCATAACCTCCCCGGACATGCGACGTCCTGATGTTTTCAAGACGGCGTCCCTGGAAGTCCTGACCCTTTCCCCGGGACAGGCTTCTCATCCCGAGTCGTCTTTTGACGGCCCCGGGGCCCGGCGAGGGCCCCCAGGAGCCGAAAAGAATGGAACACTTGCCGTTCTGACCTTCCCATGGCACGATCATGCCTGTGTCATGAGCACGAGCCTTAAGTCGGGCCTGTCCCCCTACAGGGGGATTTTCGACGAAATAATAAAAATACCTCCAAAGTGCCCCAAAAAGGTAAACAAATACTGCAAAAATAGTCCCCATACGATTTTTGGAGTATATTTTTTGACTATTTTGGGGGTCTCTTTTATTTTTCGTGGAAGAGCGCCCTGTAGGGGGACAGGCCCGACTTCAGGCTCGCGCTCATGACACAGGCATGATCGTGCCATGGGAAGGTCAGGACGGCAAGTGTTCCATTCTTTTCGGCTCCTGGGGGCCCTCGCCGGGCCCCGGGGCCGTCAAAAGACGACTCGGGATGAGAAGCCTGTCCCGGGGAAAGGGTCAGGACTTCCAGGGACGCCGTCTTGAAAGCAGCAGGACGTCGCATGTCCGGGGAAACGAGCCTCCAGAGGTCCGGGCGGGCTTCCCGGGTCGGCGCTGGGTACACACCGTCCTCCCGGCGGTGCGCGCCCGAGGCGAAGGGGGGTAGCGCCGCGCCGACCCCGGGAACCCTGCCGCCAGACTTCGGAGCGTGCGCGTTTCGGCGGCGAGCGCGGGGGGGGGAATGAGGAGGAGGAGGAGGAGGAGGAGGAGGAGGAGGAGGAGGAGGAGAGGAGGAGGAGGAGGAGGAGGAGGAGGAGGAGGAGGAGGAGGAGGAGGAGGAGGAGGAGGAGGAGGAGGAGGAGGAGGAGGAGGAGAGGAGGAGGAGGAGGAGGAGGAGGAGGAGCAGGGGGAGGAGCAGAAGGAGGAGGAGGAGGAGGAGGAGGAGGAGGAGGAGGGAGGAGGAGGAGGAGGAGGAGGAGGGGAAATGAAAAGGGGAGGGAGGAGGAGGAGGAGGAGGAGGAGGAGGAGGAGGAGGAGGAGGAGGAGCAGGGGCAGGCCTTCTCAGAAGGCCGCCATGCAGGCCGCATCGTGGCTAGGCGCCGCAGGATGACTTTCTGGGGGGGAGCAAGACTGTCTTGGAGATGGAGTGGGAGGAGGACGAGGGGGAGTCGACCGATCAGACTCGAGGCCACGTTGAGGCTCCGGCTCGGAAGTTCCCTGGACTTATGAGAAATTTTCTGAGACCCCCCCGAAGACACAAACAAAAACTTGATCAAAAGGCGCGAGGGCTTCGGAGAAGTCCCGCCGCCTTCTGCGAAGGCCTGCTCCTTGTCACTTCCCCCCCCCGCTCCCCGCCGAACGCTCGATATTTGCCTCTTCTGCGAGAGCCGCGAGGCTCGGGGCTGCTGACCGTCGCCGTGACCACCTGAGGGCCGAAGGTGCTAGCATTTCTTTGACCGAACCAATGCAGCCTGAGAGTGTGACAGCCTGCGGACAAGCGTACATCATCGAGGAGTTCGGGGTGCTCTCGTGGAGACTCCCCCCCTCGTCGTCCTGATCCTCCTGCTGCTGCTGCTGCTGCTGCTGCTGCTGCTCCGCCGGCTAACACCGAGCCGTCCTTGCACTCTTCCTGCGCCAGCCTGCCATCATGCTCGTCCTCCTCTTCCTCCTCCTCCTCCTCATCATCATCTTCCGCCTTAGATCCTCTCGGGGCCAGCACGTATACGTATTTAACCATCGCCCAGGAGGCCGATGTCGTAGGGCCCAAGAGGGCGGTGGATATTGACATGTTTGGGCCCCATGAGGTCCTAGCAGATACCCACATCTACGCCTCCCGAAGCCCTGGGAGATCGGGCCCCCAGGCGGTGGATGTGTATACATCGCAGGCTTGGATCACAGGCCATCCAGCACCTGGCCGCCCTGCTGCGAACCCCGCATTGGCTCCGACTTGGCAGTGGAGGAAAGCACCACTGCCATGGGCAAGCGGCGACGTGGCGACAGCGCCAGGCCGCGCCGGCACCGCCGCTTGAGCCAAAGTGGCCAACGCGGGGAGGATGCTGGAGCCACTGGAGTCTGCACAGATCGGCAGAAGCGTGGTGGAGGCCACGGAAAAGAAGCGAGCCCCCACAGTCGCAACAAGATTCGCACTGGACCCGGACACTTCAAGCTTCTAAAAAGACTGGCAGCACACCGCAGTAGATTTGCGTGCGGCTCCCGTGGGGCCCAAGTCCCGGGCGCTCCCGTGGAGCCCTGGGTTGCGGCCCCCCCACGGCCAGGCCCACCATGTGTGTGTATGTGTGTGCCCCACAGCTGTTGAAACCTTCTCCCGAGGGCTCACTGTTCATACGAGATCCGTGTCCCCCACATCATGGGCGGGTGACGGTTTCCTTCAAGCACCTCCCCCGCGCAGGAACGGGAGCCTAACCCGTATCATCACCACCACCATCACCATCAGCATCGGAATCGTCATCACCATCAGCGCCGCAATCACCATCAGCGACATCTCATCGTCGTAAGACAAGTGTTGTGACACCTGGCGACCTCAAACTTAAACATGTCGTCACTGTTTTGTTCCTGGTGGCCCGCAGTGTAGCACTGGCGCCACCTGTCGGATACACATGAGGCCTCCCCTCCCACATGAGGCCCCCCTCCCACCTCCAGGTTCCATACGGCCACTGTCGTTTGCAACGCGCGACATCATCCTCAGCATCCTCCTCCTGGCTCCCCAAAAGCCTTCACCTGTACCTTTCCAAGGCGGCGAGCGGGGTCATGTACATGGGGATCACTGTGAACTAGCCACGAATAAATTAGCCGGACGAAGGACCCAATCATGTGCAGTTGCGAGTACCGCATTGTAGGTACCGGTTTCGGTGGAGCTCCTATGGGGCCACGAAACTTGTGAGGGGTGCGCCGGAATTGGTGGCGCGGACGCCTGTGGACACCGCCACTGGGGCCTTCGGTGTAGCTCCCTATGGGGCCAGGAAGCGCTGCCCTGGGCGAGGGAGACGCATGCGAACTGCGCCATTGGGACTTTCCCTGGAGCTCCTTATGGGGCCACGAAGAGCTGTCATGGGTGGGGGAGACGCATGCGAACTGCGCCTCTGGCGCCTTCGGTGGAGCTCCCTATGGGGCCACGAAACGCTGTCCTGGGTGGGGGAGACGCATGCGAACACCCCGATCGAGGCCTTCGGTGGAGCTCCCTATGGGGCCACGAAGCGCTGTCCTGGGCAGGGGGGGCGCATGCGAACACCCCCACTGGGGCCTTCGGTGGAGCTCCCTATGGGGCCACGAAGCGCTGCCCTGGGTGGGGGAACCGCATGCGCCTACCCCCACTGGGGCCTCCGGTGGAGCTCCCTATGGGGCCACGAAACGCTGCCTTGGGTGAAAGGACCGCATGCGCCCACCCCCACTGGGGCCTTCGGTGGAGCTCCCTATGGGGCCACGAAGCGCTGCCCTGGGTGGGGGAACCGCATACGCCCACCCTCACTGGGGCCCTCGGTGGAGCTCCCTATGGGGCCAAGAAACGCTGCCCTGGGTGGGGGAACCGCATGCGGCCACCCCCCCTTGGGCCTTCGGTGGAGCTCCCTGTGGGGCCAAGAAACGCTGCTCTGGGCGGGGAACTGCATGCGCCCCCCCGACATTCGGTGGAGCCCCCTATGGGGCCAGGAAGCGCTGCCCTGGGTGGGGGAACCGCATACGCCCCCCCCCACTGGGGCCTTCGGTGGAGCTCCCTATGGGGCCACGAAGCGCTGTCCTGGGCGGGGGGACGCTTGCGAACACCCCCACTGGGACCTTCGGTGGAGCTCCCTATGGGGCTACGAAGCGTGTGAGAGGTGTGCCGAGAGCAGAGGCAAGGAGGGGGAGGAGGGAGGAGGGGGAGGAGGGAAGGAAGGAGGAAGGAAGGAGGAACGCGGGGCACCGTCTCTTCAAAACGAGGGCCCAACACCACAGGATGGCTGGGAAATATTTACCTTCCTACTGCACACAAAGCCTCTGCATTCCTAATTCGGGCTTTGCCTGCAAAACGTTATGAGAGCAACCGGTGGGCTCCAAAGAGAGAAAGCAAAACTCCAGCAAACGGTCCGCAACTGAGAAGCAACAACAGAGCCCCACCCAAAAGGCACCAGGCCAAGAAGGAAACACCGATGCAAACGAGGCATCATAGAGCACCAGCCATACAACACCGGTCATAAGGCACCAGGGCAGGATGGAGAACCCGCAACAAGTGAGGCATCACGTAACACCAACGACAGGGCACACACCCTACAACCCCGATTCGATACCGATACGCAGTACATGGAGCATCATAGAGCACCAGTCATGTGATACCGCCCATATTGTAGCATCGGGAAACACTGAACAACAACTATCGAGGCACCACGGAACATAACTAATGGATAGCTGCACGTGGTATACCAGTTGTGGATGACATGACAAGGAACACCCTAAACAATTGAACACTGAATCAAACATGTGTAACATGTGTGAGACTGTTCGGAAGATGCTGCAACTATATGTTTTACATGTTCAAGACATGTTCAAATCTTGTTCTGGACGTCTGAAAATTAACTGGGAAAGTGCTTCCTCTCCATTGATCGTCATCCACAACACACTAGGGCCACAACGAGACATCGAAACACAGAGGCATCACAAGACAAGCTATCCTGTACCACCCACAGGGCACCAGGGCGAGGCCGACAATTCGTAGCAAAGGGGTCACCACCTAGCAAGAACCACTGCGAGCCGAGCATAAAACATCGGGGCGAGACTGGCAAATCGCAAATGACTTGGACGTGTCCACCTCCTCGTTCACTCCCGCTTACTTCCACTCGTTGCTCACACTCATATCACGCATACTCAGACGCACCCAACGTCAGATACACTCACACTCTGGCTCACTGGCGCTCAGGCACACTTGCACCCAGACTCACTCACACTCAGATTCGCAGATACTCAGACTCCTTCTCACCGCGACCCACTGAAATTAGACTCGCACATGCTCAGGCTCACTCAGCCCATATTGTGACTCATACGGAAGCCCCTACCACAACCAAAGCACCATGATCATCGTGATGTAGAAGGCGTGGCTTGCCATCGCCCCTGTGAGCAGCCGTCGAGGGTGGGGACGTTTGCCCGTTCTCGCGCACATTGTGGGGGATGTCTGAAGGGGGTTGCTTTTCCGGTCCCAGCTCATCGCAATGCAGCAGACGTGGCCTTTCAGCAGCCCAAGGAGGTGCCGCCAGGGGTGGCGGTAGGTGCCCGTTCGCGACCAGAGTGGGGGGGATGTCTCAAGCGATTTGCATGGTTCGTTGATTGGCCTTCTCTCTTTTCGGAACCACATGCTCGTCCCGATGTGGCAGGCGTGGGAAATGAACATCCCGTGAAGGAGCCGCCAGGGATGGGGACATGTGCCCGTTCGCGTGCCGATTGTGGACATGACTCAGGCGTTTGCCTGGTTGGTTGATTGGATGCTTCTCTTTTGGGAGCCCCATGCTCGCCCTGATGTAGCAGGCATGGCAAGTGCAACTTCAAAGAGGAGCTGCCAGGAGTGGGGACATTGCCCCTTCGCGCCCAGCTTGTGGTGGGGATGCCTCTCTCTCTTGTCAGGGCACCGTGCTCATCACAATGTAGCAGACGTGGCACTTGAGCAGCCGAAGGAGGCGCCGCCAGGGGTGGGGACATTTCCCCGTTCGCGCCCAGATTGTGGGGATGCCTCAGGCGGTTTGCATGTTCGGTTGCCTGGACTTCTCTCTTTCCAGAGCTTCAGGCCCATCGCGATGTAGCAGGCATGACACTTGAGCAACTCAACGCAGAGCCGCCAGGGTGGGGACGTCTGTCTGTTCGCGTCCAGAAGGTTGGAATTTTTCCGGCGGTTTGCCGGTTCTGTTGATTCGGCCCCTCTCTTCTTATAGGCCCGTGCTCATCGTGGTGCAGCAGTCGTGGCACCTGAGAACCCCAAGGAGGTGACATGCGCCGCTTCGCGTCCAGATTGTGGGGATGCCGCAGGCGGTGTGCCTGTTTCCTGGCTTGGACTTCGGTGCGTCCAGGAAAGTGTGTGTGTGTGTGTGAGGATGCCTCGAGCGAAGTGCTGCTTTCAGCAGACCAAGGGGGGATACGACGCCATGCAGGGGGGCACTCGCCGTTTCGCGCCCAGATCGTGCGGATGTCTGCAAAGGTTTGCCTGTCTGGCGGCCTGGAACCTGGTGCTTGTGGAGCATATCGTGGTGATGTCTCGAGCGAGGCGCTGGGTTCAGCACCTTACTCGGGGGCGTGCAAACATGGATTGCCGATCCATGGATTTTGCGCGCGGTCGCCAAATCCATGGATCGGGGGAGGTGCTCTCCCCAAAATGCGGGCGGTGCCGCCTCGTGCGGCTGCGGAGATCCGAGATTTACCATGGAAACGGGACCCGTCGCTAATCCACGCCCCCTGGATCCATGTTTGCGATCGCCCGGCCTACGGAAGAGAGGGCATTTGCCCATTCGCGCCCAGATGGTGGAAATGACTCGGGCGGTCTGCCTGTTTGTTGACCTGGACATCGGTGCTTTCAAGATAGACTGCGAGGATGTCTCGAGCGAAGCGCTGGCCTCAGTATCCCAGGCGGCCAGATCGAGGGAATGCGTTGAGCGAGGCGCTCGGTTTTGCACCTCCGAGTCCTGCCCATCCCGAACCCCACGATCACCTCGACGTGGGGAGAAGCACGTCGACCCGGACGGATCAGGGAGGACGGAGAAAGAAGGAGGAGGCGGACGCGGAAGGAAGGAGGAGGAGAAGGAGGAGGAGGAGAAGGAAGGAGGAGGAAGAGGAGGAGGAGGAGGAGGAGGAGAAGGAAGGAGGAGGAGAAGGAAGGAGGAGGAAGGAGGGAGAAGGGAGGCGGGATGAAGAAGAGATGGGAGGAGGGCACGACGAGTGGGAGGCTACTGAAAAGGGGAGGGTGCCTGCGCACCGCCTGGCTGTCAGTGGGTTGCCATCGCCGCCGTCCCCCCTCGGATCCACCGTTTGCCGGGATCGATGCGTCTCAGGTGGCACCG